GACGGTCCACTACTGGCTTAAATTCCTAAGCCTTGAGGAAAAAAAAAAAAAAAGGAATATTTTACATGTCTTTTTAAAAAAAATGAAAATATGTTAAATTCCTAAGGTATTTTATTTCATTGTTAAAACTTATGAGGTTCGTGTACTAAATCATATATGGGTTTTAGAGATGAAACTATTCAAGTATTTTATTTATTTTCGATATAAAAATTCAATAATTTTATTTTATCCATTCTATTTGTGTTTTCAATCTTTATAAGCACCATTTCTTTTTCAAATTACAAATATTAAATTGATAAATTATGTGGAACTAAATTATTTTATTGATGTTTTCTTAAATAGTCACATGTAATTTATTAGAACAAATCATTTTTTAAATAGGTACGGATAAATTCACTAACAATTTTGTTACTCTCACTACTTGATTTTCTTAAAATGGCTAATATACCTTTTTCATTATTGTTTATTATATCACAACTTCAAGTGTAATTTCTGTTAATAATAAAATGAATAGATTATACTGGTTATTTTGAAAAATAAATAGTGAGAATAATAATTTTTGTAATGATCATTTTCGTGTTTCCCTTGATAAGATGAGCAAGAAAAAAAAAGAAAAGAAAAGAAAAAAAAACATACATAGAATCAGGTCACAAAATATTATCAATGTATACTAATTGATGGCTACTGTAATTATATACATGAAAAATTCAAAATATATTATCATTATAGTTTTGAGGATAAATTTTTAAATATCCTTTCAAAGTGAACAAAACAGATAAAATGTAGTTCATCCTATTGTGAGAAAAGCTATTATTGCAGAAATAAATTAATGAATACAACAAACTATTACTAGGAATCTTATCTTTGGATAAAAAATAGGTGAGATGTGGAATACAACAAAGAGAAAAGGCTCCATGTATTTTTACTCTATTAGCAACCTTTTTGGTATCAGAATCGGTGGATTGGTAAAGAGAATGGGCAGTAGGAAATGTCCCTCTTCACATTTTCTCAAGGTAGTCTATTTTTTCTTTTCTTTTATTTATTTAGTTTCTTTATTTTAGATTTTTTTTAATGTGATCCACTCATTATGATTCCTTTTTTTTTTTTTCATTATATGGATACACGTCAAAAATATATAATTTTCCGCCTCGAAATTTTTGAAAAATAAAAGACAAAATTGAAAAGAAAATTAATAAATATGATAAATATGAGGAAAAAAAATCAAAATAACAATTTTGAAAATTCCTGAAAATTTTGAAAAATGGAAAAAGGAAATTGATAAGCCTTTAGCAAAAATGCAATATTTTAAATATTTTTAAAAATGAATATATGTTAAATCACTATTTTTTTTTTCGTTTTCAATTCAATTTTTTAATGTAAAAATAAAAAAAGTAAAACATTTGAATATATAAAAAACACAAGTTATAAAAAAAAATTTAAACTTAAAATTTAGATTAGAAAATTTTACCCTTCGATTAAATTTTAAAAAGAAAAATAAATAAATAAATATGGGTGACTTAACAAAATTTTGTTTTACTCTTTTATGACCCAAGAATATTTAAAATACTCCATTCCTTGTTTTTTTTTTCTAAGTGGTTATTTTTTTCCCCTTAAAATACTCCATTCCTTGTTTTTTTTTAAAAAAAGGGTTTTCAATTTCCATTTTCCATTTTTCAATATGATATATTTGTTTTCCTTCTTAGGAATTTTCAAATTTAAAATTTGATTTTTTTTTCTAATACTTCTCAATTTTTGTTTAAAAAATTTCGAGTTGAAATTCTATTTTTTTCTCTTTAAGAATAGTCTTTTTTTTTCCCTTAATTTTTTCCTTCTCACTATGGTAAGCTGTTATGTGTGGCTTGAATTTCGTGGGCCAATAAGATATTTAGCTCATTAGGTTTTTTTCTTTATACGTATGAGTTATTTAAACCTCCTTATGTCTCTGTTTAAGAAATAGAGAGAAAGACAGAGACTTTGTATTGAACTTTTAAGGTTTTGTATTCTTCTCGCTATCAAGCTAATAAAACTTCTTTCTCGCCCGTGGAGTAGGCAATTTGCCGAACCACTTAAATCCTATGTGTTGATAATTTGTCTTATCTTCGTTGTTTGTCATAACAAACTCGGTGTCAAAGTGTAGGTTACGCATCTTTGGGTTTTTCCGTTCGTAATGACAACTCTAAAATTTAATGTTTTGCCTTTTGATGGTCAAAATAATTTTGGCCTATGGAGAATAAAGATGAAAGCTTTGTTACGACGTAAAGGTTTTGTCAAAGGAATTAAGGGTATATACCTAGATGACATGACTTCGTCAAAATTGAAGAGATGGATGAGAAGACTCATAGTGCTCTACAATTATCATGTCAAACAAGATATCGCGAGAAGTCGTAGATGAAGAGACGACGATGGGATTGTGGAAGATTTGGAAAGCCTCCATATGAAGAAATCTCTTACAACAATATTGTATTTGAAGCGAGCATCTTTATACATTAAAGATGCGAGAAGGTATTTCTATTTAGGAACACCTTGATGAATTCAATAAGATTGTTATGGATATGAAAAATCTTGATATTAAACTTGATGAAGAAGATCAAGCTCTTATTGTATTGTGTTCATTACCTGTTTCGTATGAGAATTTTGTTAATTCAATATTGTATCGTAGAGAGTTCATAACTTTAGAGGATGTTAAGGCCTCTTTGAATTCTCGCTGAGCTGAGACATAAACCGAATGGTAAAGTCGTTGATAGTTTGCTAGTAAGGGGAAGACGAAGGATAGAGAGGGTTATAAAGGAAGACCCAAATTCGGTTCTCGGTTTAGAACACTTCGGATAAGAAAAACAATGTTGAATACTACTATTGTCACAAGAAGAAACATTATAAATCGGATTGTCCCGCTCTAAAGAAGAAGGAGAAACCACATGGTCAAAATTTTAAGTCTACTAATGTGACGAAGGCTACCGATATTGATGCCTTTGAAAGTGTTCTTGCTACATGTCCTCTAGATGATCGTTCTAATCAAGAATGGATCTTGGATATAGGTGCTTCTTAAACGTTTTTGAGCGAGATAATGACTTGGAATTCTATGGTGGAAGTTTTAATGAGTTTTGTACAAACTGCGGGATTGTCCGACATCGCACAATTAGACACACTCCTTAGCAAAATCGGATGGTAGAGCACATGAACGGGACTTCGATGGAGAGAGCTAGATGTATGTTCTCTAATTCAATTTTTAGAAGGATTTTTGGGCTGAAGTAGTTAACATAGCTTGTTATCTTGTGAACCGTTCTCCCTTTATCGTCATTGATTGTAAGACTCCAAACGAGGTATGGTCCGGTAAACCTAGTGATTATTCAAATTTAAAAATATTTGTATGCCTTGCTTATTATCATGTTAAAGATGGTACGAGTTAAACCTAAAGCAACAAAATGTGTATTTGTTGGTTATGTTGATGGGGTGAAAGGTTATCATCTATGGTGCCTTGAACCCAATCCATCTAAATTCATTATTAGTAAAGATGTTACTTTTAATGAGAAATATATGATTGATCAAGAAAATATTGTTTGTGAGTTTACGGGAAAGAGTGAGAAAGCCATAGATATGGTGGAGCTTATCCATTATTAGATGGATTGACTTTCCATGATTGTTCGCAATGTTATAATATACTTTTTTTTTTAAATTACTAAATATTAATTGTTTATTCTTAAAAAAAAGCGAGAGAAAATGATAGGTAAAAGCAACTAACTTATTATATGCATAGATAATAATACATGTTATACATATTTAAATTAATTTTATGTTGATAATTAATCTAAATTGGCTAATGAATGAATTAATTAATAAATAATTATCGATTATTCTATGAGATGATTCATTATCCATCTTATCATTTCGGATAGATGCTATATGCTAGATTTTTATTTTATTATCATTTGTGTTATTTTCATGAAAAAAATATTCATACAAATTTATTATAAGTATTTAAATATAGAAATATAATCATAGAGGTATTATAGTAAATATATAATAATACGTTTTCTTTCCTTCCTCTTTTTACAATTATCCAAACAAAAAAAAAATACTTTCTTTCCTTTCTTTTCTACTCTTATCCAAACAACGAATGAAAAATAGTTTTTTTTCCTCTCACTTTCTTTTCTCTATTTTCTTTCCTTCCAAGAGAAAATATCCAAACAAGGGGTAAATTAGTATCAATTTAAAGTTCAATTGTAACAATCAAATTGACAATTTTTTTCTTTCGGTTCATTGGAAGGCCCATGGTGTAACCATCAAGTTGACAATTTTTTTCTTTCGGTTTCGTAGGAAGGAAGGTCCATGGGCCTTGGACTACGCAATGAAAAGCTATTTTATCGGAAAAAAATCTATTTTAATGAGGGACAACAAGAACTTTTATGAGCAGATATAATTCCAAAAAATGGCTGACAAAATGGGAAACCAGAGTGACTTAGGCTGAAAGAGTCGCCAATGATGACGAAAAAGGAGTGATTTGGTGCGAGGTTCACTCTAACCTGCTCACCATCTTTTGTTTGAATTTCCAACCCATCAACATTATTTTGATACAATATAGCAATTAAGTTCTTATCGGTGTGAGGCATTACTAGTCCATGCTTTTTCTCAGGGATCTGGAGTCCTTCATATTTCATGACTCTTCAGAAAGTAGTCGATTGAGTTCATCTTTTCATCCAAGGATTTATCAAGACTCACGCTCTCCAAAATAATCCTTCTGATTATCTCTCCTAAATCTGATACATGCTTCGAAAAATATTGTATAGATTTGCTGCCAAAAAAAAAAAAAAAACCCTCTGTTTAAAATGCTCAAGTTCAAATAATAGGGATGAGAACCCTTCTACAAAGCATTCGGGTAAAAACAGAAGGCACCGGTCAAAACATCCTATCATGCTTGGACAGGATGTGGAAAAGGTTAGTATGATTGAATATAATCCTCCATTAATTGAAAAAAATAATAATAAAAGAAAAGAGAAGCTCACTCACCTTAAACTCGGGTTACCTTCTGACCACGAGACAATACAGAAGTTGTCGTCGCAGTTTTTCAACATCAAGGGATCTTGAATACCAAAGCTTTCACGTCGGGGCACAGACCGAGACTCAAAGTAGCTACGAAAGGGATTTTCAGAAACACAGCGGCTTTTGGCTGGTAAAGGTAGGTCAAAACGCTCTTCCAGCGAACAAAGTAATGTCTTTTGATTCTCTACAGGAATTTTGTCAAATAAAGCCTTGAAGCAGCCATCTTTCGAAATTGCTTTCCAAACTTGGGATCTCACAGAGTCCCATTCTGAAGTACCTGGCTTAAGATAAGCTGACTTGCAGAAAATCAATGACTGGAAGCTGAAGATGAGTTCTAGAGCCCATTTTTTCTGCTGGTTCCTCTTTAATTTGTGTTTGTTGAAGATGATAGGAAAACAGAAGTCTTTCACGTACTTCTGAACCAGGTTCAATGTTGAAGCAAATGTTTTTATGCTGTGATCATAGTGCTTTTGATTGTAAATTTTTATTTGAACGATCATGACAGATAGATAGAAAAATAAAAAACTCGTCTTTAATTAATAATACAACTAGCTATATGATTATTATTGCATGAATCTTCAATCACACGAAATTATGATTAAGAATGATTAAAAATCAAAGAATATTGCCAACAAAAAGTTTCTTGTGCTTCATGCTTTAGAAGAAATACGTACAAGAACTATAAGGCACCGATCAAAACATCAAGGGATCTTGAATACCTAAAGAAGTTTAATTTAGGAAATACTATATTAGAATAATTTTCCTTTAATTTTAGAATATTTTTCTTTTATTGTCACCTTATATACATGGATACTAATTTAATCATTCGTCTTAACATTTGGGAGCAGTGTAATGTAATCTGTACATATATATATATATATATATATATATATATATATATATATATATATATATATATATATATTTCTTTTATTGTCAGAGAATTGCACTTCGAGTACATGAATTGCAGCTGATTAATAGCATCTCGTACATCAGAAACTAGGTTACTTTTTGCAGCTCTGACCACATCTATTTTCTGAACATTGATCTCCCCTCTATTCTCTTTTCCTGCAACAGATTTTCCTGCCCGTGCATATGCTGCCTTTCTCTTAGCTTCCCTGCAGTGCAATTGGTCAATGTATCTCTCGTGTAAATCCCTGTTTTTCACCTGCTTCAGCACTGGGGGACTAACAATATCTATTCCTCATGAACTCAATCTTGAAAGGGGCTTTCTATGGCCAGAAGAAGATCTCTCAAGCAACGTGTGAAGAAAGCCCTGTTTTTGTTGTGAATGCTTGGGGGTGGAAATTTTAACAGCCAGCTGACAATCTTCAGTCAATGGATTCATGTTGGGTTCAAGTCTGCTTCATAATCAGGAGAATGTTTAGTACTTCTCAATCCACAATGGGCCCAGTGCAGCATTCTGTTTTGGCCCATTCATCTTTGTCCGCTCATTTAGCGCCTGTCGCGTACTTGGCCCCGTCCCAGCCTTTTGTTCCAGCCCATCCATCTTTGTCCGGCCAACATACTCCAGCATTGGGCCAATCACAGCCGTTCGAAGCCCAATCCATAGCAGCAGCCCAGTCCTCACCTGGCAGGAGCCCAAGTCCAGCAGCAGCTTGAACAAAAATTATTTCCTCTGACAGCAGCCCAAATCAGTGTAATTTATTTCCAATTCAATATTAATAACCACCAACACAAACGCTTAAAAGCATCAAAAAGCTCGAAACTTTATTCACAGGCTAATATTTTTATGACCTAATCATGTCATTGAAAAAATAATCTAAAAATCATTTACCCGAATTGAAGGCTCTCATTAACCTTGCCATAGAACTCTGCACCTAAATTATTTCTTATTTTACTTAACATATAGTGTAAATTTAGGTCAAAGGGCGTGAAGGTTTTACTGAATACAACTGATGCAAAAAGAGGAATGGACCCTTCAGATTTGACTAGGATGAATGGCAAATAAATTCGTTATCCAAATTGTCAGCTTCAAAATTTTAAGAAGAGGCCTGACTCTGTCTTTTTCTTCCTTTTGTTGGGCCAGGAAGAGCCTAAAGTTCTTGGCGCCAAGACAATGAAGGAAACGAAAAGGAGGAGCGTGACATCCAAAGCAATAAACAAGATCTCAAACTTGAGATTAGATAGAATGATTCTTCAATCTGGAAGCATTATATGGCTTGTCAAAAATCCAAAAAGAAATAACTGGTAGCAGTAAAATAGATATGGTATCAAATCCATCTACATTTTCCAAGTTCAGCTGGCTAGTTCGGTACTCAGGAGGAACGCAGAAAAACATGTTTCAACTGCATACCCTTCCTTCCAAGCAGACTCCAAGTTAAAACGGATATTGCTTGAGGATATTTTGTTCCACTGGCAAGAAAGCTGTGATTTGCATTGTAAGACAGAAATGCAAACAGAAATATTGACGAGCTGAAGTATGGATATGATGTGCCGATCGAGTGTTTATGATACAAATACCATAAACGAGGGAGGAGGACAAATTAAGCAGGCTTCTCATAGGAATTCTGCTCTCTGAAGTCTGCAATTGCACTTCGTATCATTTCAGACACATGGGATTGGACAAACATGTGAGTGCTGTCCAAAATATGAATAATGAACTTCTGCGATGCCGGTAGCGAAGCATTCAAATTGATGATGAATTGTGCCATAGGTATGTCACTACAATATAAACATGACAAGAGTCCTTAACTAACAAGTTAAGGGCTAGGCAAGGTGAAACTAAACAAAAGCCTCCTCAACAAGCATGAAATATATGCACATCTAAATGCACCCACTTGGCTATTCCATTCCAAGCAATGAATGCCTTCAAATTAACACATTGATGACAATCACATACTAGCACATGAATGAGTGGCTAGAGATGCATTCACCACTAACAGTTCCTCAATTTCCTTGGCTGAAAAAAGTTTAAAGCTAATGAGATATTTACCAGGATATGAACAACCCTTTAGTGGCATTCACCATCTTTGTAGGAGTCTGAACTGCAAGATAACCTATACCAAGAAAAGTTACAGAGATATGATAGTTAGCACATTTTCTGGAGTCAATAGACAATAAACAAATAGAACATCATCAGACTAAGATGAAAGAACCAAAATATAAGTAACTTCCAGAACAACAAAAAGAATCTTTTCTACAGAAACCCATGAACCAAAACAAATATTTCCAAAGAATAGCTTCACCATCGGAGAGAAAACAATTGACCAACAGAGATTTCACATTCAATTATATGAGAAAGCCACATGTTCATGTACTTTGGTCTTTTTTCGGTGCTATCAGAACCAAACCAGACAGTGTACCACCGAAGGTACTGTTTCACCAGCGGTTCACTGCTGTTTCACCATCAGACTAAGACCAAAGAACTAAAACAACAAATTATAATTAACTTCCAGAACCAAAAAAGGAATCTTATTGTTGGTTTCTACAGAAACCCATGAATCAAAACAATATTTCCAAAGAATAACTTCACCATCAAAGAGAACACAATTGAACAACAGAGATTTCACATTCAATTTTATGAGAAAGCCACATATTCATGTAATTTGGGCCTTTTTCAGTGCTATCAGAACCAAACCGGACAGTGAACCACCGAGGTGCTGTTTCACCGGCAACTGATACCTATATACTTCTAATTTTTCCAGCAACTGATACCTGACTTTGCAATAGTTAAAGAAGTCTTCAAACAGTTAAATTTCTAAAATTCAAGTACAAAACACACACAAATAAGTTAAGTAAAATAAGGTTTAATGAAAGATGACAAGTTCAAATAAAAAATCCTAATATCCTAACCCATAAAATCCCAGATATAAAAGACCCATTTTAGCTCAAAAGATTCAAAATTTACACCACAAACAATAGAAACAACAGAAAATTGATCAACAAGCAGCCTCTATAATCCCCAAAAGCCAAAAACACAAACATACATATGTCTGGAGGAGGCCTGGAGCTTGGAGGGTGACTTGTCTGAAACTGAGAGAGAGTGAGGATTCAGGAAGGGGCGGCTTGAGGAGCGACGAGCGGCGTCTAGAGGAGGCCTGGAGCAGAGCTTGGAGGAGGGCGGCGTGTCTTTAAAGTTTTCTTAAAGTTTCAACTGTTTAACACACACGTACATAAAAAAAAAATTAATTAATTGAATTTCTGTTTAGACAGAATTAAAAATTTCAAAAAACTAAATCAAAACCACAAAATCAAAATAAATTCAGTTCTTTTTTTTTCTCAATAATTTTAATATCAAAACCAAACTAAAATTGATTTTTCAATTCAATTTGGTTTGGTTTTTCAGTTAAAATTAAATTTTACTCATTTTGACTTAACTCTTGAATTACTCATTGATTTGGTCAAGTTTATTTTATTTTTTGTGTAATTAAATTAGGCAAATAGAGATAATTATTAGTTATTGTCATTTCACTTGTTGGAAAAATAAAAATAAATTTTTGTTTTTATCTACTTAATTTAGTTATAAAAAATAAATTTAATTTAACCATAATTATGATTACTAGAAGTCATGAATAAGAATCGAAATTTCATAATCGATTCCAAAAATTAAAATTTTAGCCTAATGCCATGATATATGAAGTTTAGTACCAATAAATTATTGTCAATTACATTGCTAATAAAGTTCAAATTACTTTATTAAGTGTTTTTACAACAACGTATATAGTGATTAAAAGTTTATTATATAGTTTAAAGTTTTTATACGTATTTTTATTTTTGATTTTGTATTAATTTTTCTCTTATACTTTTATTTATTTTTTACTTACAAAATCGTGTGACTTTTTGTCTTGTTTTGATCGAAAGCCAATATTTTCAGTAATTAGACAGTAACCTAACTAGTGTCAAGGTATAAAAAATAAATTTAATTTAACCATAATTATGATTACTAGAAGTCATGAATAAGAATCGAAATTTCATAATCGATTCCAAAAATTAAAATTTTAGGTCTTCTAATTTCATTGTGAATAATTTATTTTTTTGCATGACTTGAAGAGGTAAACTTAGCCTAATGCCATGATATATGAAGTTTAGTACCAATAAATTATTGTCAATTACATTGCTAATAAAGTTCAAATTACTTTATTAAGTGTTTTTACAACAACGTATATAGTGATTAAAAGTTTATTATATAGTTTAAAGTTTTTATACGTATTTTTATTTTTGATTTTGTATTAATTTTTCTCTTATACTTTTATTTATTTATTTCTTTATTTTTTACTTACAAAATCGTGTAACTTTTGTCTTGTTTTGATCGAAAGCCAATATTTTCAGTAATTAGACAGTAACCTAACTAGTGTCAAGATAAGGTTACTGGATGATGATTGACAAACGTGGTAGGGGAAAAAAAAAGGACCTAATTAAGGAGTAAATTATAAATTAATCCCTCTAGTTTCAAGAAACAAATTAATTAGTCCTTTTAGTTTCAAAAAATATTATTTAATCCTTTAATTAGTATCGAACAAGTTAAATTTAATATTCTTTTTATTTCATAAAATCTCTTATTTTTTCATGAATATTTTCATTTTTTTCCTTTTTTGATTTCTTGAAACAAAAAATCAAAATAAATTAAAAAAGAGAAAAAAGACTAAATTATAAGTAATTTTCAAAACATGAGGATTAAATAATTATTTGTTAAAATATGAAGGATCAATTAATGTGTTTTTCAAAACAAGAGGGACTAATTTATAATTTAGTCCCCAGTTAACATGATTTGGTAAGTAATAAAGGAAAAAAAAAAAAAAAAAGACGTTAAAACAAACAAAACTAGAAGAGGGACGCTAATACAAAATCAAGAGTAAAAGGATGTATAAAAGCTTTTAATCCATATTATATAATATTGTGAGTGAGATCACTTAATATTTTTTTATAATCATTTATTTTGTTTTTAAAATGATTATGTTCGAGATCATAACATAAATACAATATTTTAATTCTAAGATCAAAACAAATTATTTGAGAAACTTTTACTAATTATAAATCTAAATTTTATGAACTGTAATTAAAAAAAAAAAAACCAAAGAATAAAGGATTTTTTTTTATATATACAGTAAATAGTCACTATATAGTTTTGTCAGGATTCACACAAACTTCTTTCAGTCTGTTTTAAAGAAGTGCAATAAAAATATGGTATATCTAAGAAAATCAACTTAGGAAATGATTTCATAGTCAGGCCCAATGATAAGAGTTTTGGAGAAGGGCCCTTTACAGGTTGAATTCTTGAAGTTTCAAACCGAGCCCAATTAACAGATTTCTGGGCTGAACCTGTTCAAACCTTGCTTCAGGAGAATAACCAAAAGAAATTACATTACCCACACCATTTTTCAGCCCTTTTTGCCACCTCGTATATGTTAGTCCTGTTTATGATCATCTTAATTATCCAAAACATTAGATGAACTGCTGATGAGAAGCTGTGTGAGTATTCATATTGAGAAGATGAACTGCTGCTGGTGTTACATAATCACAGATGTTCTTACTCGAGAGAATAACCAAAAGAAATTACATTACCCATTTAACATGGATCAGGACAGTAGTTGGATTTTATCTATCCAAACACAACCACTAACTAATTGAAAATAAGAAATCATCTAATGCCATCCCTATCTATAATCCTCAACTTTGTAAACATTGTCCTTTCCATCTTCATCTGAATCATCATTAAGGATTAATCTCTTCAGTTTTCCTGCCAAGGACAGCACAATTGGAATTTCCTGCCTGTTGAGATGAAAATCTGACGAGATCCCCCATTGCAACCACGCCAGTTCTGTAAGAGTTGGTGCAGATGAAAAATACCTAAAGTAAACAAGAAGATCAGAAAATGACGAGCAAAACAATTTTCAATGTTCGGATTGAGTTTTTTGTTTTTTTTTCTTTTTTCAGCTGAAGAACTTTCTTTTTACTTGATCGCAGTTGTTAGGTTACAGATACAAACCTGTGCTCCAGCACTAGCTAACTAGAACAGGGCAACCAAGCATAATTATGTGAAATCGCAAGTACCCTCAGATCACCAGCTTGCAGTGAAAATTGCAGTGAAACTGACACCCCTCTAAAGATCCCTGAGAAGACCAATTACTCTAATCTGTGTGTTTCCAACATAACAGAGGATTTGTTGAATTAGAAATAATATGAATCACACCTCACCATCATTGAATATTCAAACCATAGAACGGGAAAATCATTTATAAAGAATTATAAAGTCATAAAAACAAAGAACAGGGCAATCATAATTAAATTGTAGTGCGTATAATAGACTATAAAATTGAAATTGCAACTTATCATCATTGATTATGCAAACCATAACAAATTGTACAATTTATACAGATCATGAAAAGCACAAGTAGAACAAGGCAATCAAACAGCATTATCTGGAAATTGGTAAACTCACATCATGAACTTTCCATGGAATAATTTCAAGGAAAAAAAAAGTATAGTAGAAAGAAAATTACTGTGGAAGTGGCATCCCGAATCATATTCCAACAACCAATCACTCTAATCTTCACGTCTGAAGGATCCTTGGATTACTTGATAGTTGATTTTGATGTTAGGGATGTGAGCTATCTTAGGCCAGTCCTCTCCCCTCTCTCTATCGCACCTCTTTTCCAGATCCGGACATGATGCAATGTTCAACTCTTTCAGCGTATTGAGACTCTGTATCCCGTCCGGCAAAGACATCAAATTAAGGCAATGCGTAATCTCCAAGCGTGAAAGGGACGGGAGATATGCAATCTGATTTGGCAGACAAGATAATCCATCGCAATAAGAGATTACGAGAGATCGTAGAGAAGTGAGGTGTTGGATGCTCTCTGGCAGTGTACTCAACTCTGGACATTTATAAAGGCACAAATCCTCCAGTGCCGTCAGACAGCGAACTCCCTCAGATAAAGAGGCAAATTTAGCACAATTTGTAACATGTAAGTTACGAAGAGAAGATAAGCCACACAATCCATTGGTTGGCAGAGAATTTAATCGATGGCATTTCCATATATTCAATATCTCCAAAGAATTGAGATTCTGGAGACCTTCTTCCGGCAAGCTTTCAAGTTCATCACAATTGCTAATATCTAAGGCTTTAAGAGAAGATAGGTTATCTAATATCTGATTTGACAATGACTGGAGATTTTCAAGACCACAAATTGTTAAGTGCTGAAGGAGTGTAAGGTTTTGCAACCACGCATCGGGCAGAAGCTTTAAATTGGGAATGGATAAGATATGAAGGGTGGTGAGCCTGGGGGAGTATTTGAAATTCGTCAACAACTTGGCACTGACTTGGTGAAGGAGTAAGTACTTGAGGGAGGGTATAATTGGCATTTCAACAAACATGGGGCAATCCTCCACGATCAATACGTTAAGGACAGGAAAACTCTCTCTTTCAGTAACAACTGCCCATACCTTTAAGTTCTTCATTGATCTAAGGCGCAGAGTCTCCAGTGATGGGAATGGATTTTCCCCATCTCCATACACATCACTCCCAATACACTTCACCCCATCCATTCCCCTTAAGGAAAGACGCTTAAGGAACTGTAGTTTCCCAAATGGTGGAAGTTGTTCACAATTGTCACACCCTACTAGAGAGATTTCCACTAGATTTGGTACCAGCAAGTTGAAGTTCATCATCCAATTTGGAAATTCTGAACCTCCATATCCACTTATACTCAGCTTCTTCAGATTTGGATGGGGTTGAAGATCATCGAGGACCCCTTCGATGTTTTCCTTGATAACACTGCTTTTATTAATGTAATCTCCATTCCTATACCAAGATAAACCCAGTGTTTGAAGATTTGCCTTCTGCACCAAATTGGCACTCTTGGCATCTGTTAAATCTTTAACA